TCTGCATAGACTAGAGGCAGTTCCTCTTGAATATCCTGAAACTTACATGTAAGTAGCTGTTGCCAGCTGGCTATCAGGGGTTCAGACATTACTTCAGGTTTTTTTCCTCCAATTTCAATCACAAATAACATAAAGAGACCAAACTATCTGAAGATAGGTTACTAAGGATACTTGCTAAAGTTCATCAATAGTTTCCTTCTTTCTTTTAAGACTCTCAGCTCCAAAAAAGATTTAAGGTGGCTTACAAAAACCGTATACAATACAAGAAGATTAAAAATAGATCAAGAAATTAGGATGGGGTAATTAAAGTAAGAATAAAAGGGGAGTCAGGACATAGAAATGCATGCTGCTTAACTGCTAAATAATTGTCACTGTGGTTCACTGCTGCTGAGTTGGCATGACCCATGCACAACGGAACAAAATGCTGACTGGTCCCTGGGCCACCCCCAAGGTCAGTTGCAGATCAGACCATTGGGATCGACAGGGTTTTCACTGGCTGACTTTTGGAAGCAGATCACCAAGCCTTTCTTCCTAGTTTGTCCTAGTCTGGAAGCTCCGCTGAAACCTGTTCAGCATTGCAGCAACATGCAAGCCTCCACTGACAGACAAGGAGTGGACGCCCATGAGGTGCACTGGCTGGGAATTCAACCCTGGTCAAGACTTTTACCACTGAACCATCAATGTCTTCTCCTAGATAATTACTGATGCAAATGTGGCTCTGAGTGCCCTAGTAACCAGGAGGTGGGGTGAATAGCAGCAGTTAACAGGTTCATAGTTCCCATTAAAGTATCTTCTCTAAAATCTACAAAATACTTCAACACCTCAACAACCAAAAGACAAATAATCCAATTAAAAAATGGCCAAAGGATATGAACAGACACTTCATCAAAGAAGACACTCAGGCAGCTAACAGACACATGTAGAAATGCTCAGGATCACTAGCCATTAGAGAAATGCAAATCAAAACTACAACGAGATACCACCTCACCCCGACAATACTGGCACTAACCAAAAAAAAACAGAAAATAATAAATGTTGGAGAGGTTGCGGGAAGATTGGAACTCTTATGCACTGCTAGTGGGAATGTAAAATGGCACAATCACTATGGAAAACAATATGGCAACTCCTTAAAAAGCAGAAATAGAAATATCATACAATCTAGCAATCCCATTCTCAGGACTATATCCTAGAGACGTAAGAGCCAACACACGAATAGACATGCACATCCATGTTCACTGCAACACTATGCAAAATAGCCAAAAGATGGAAGTAACCTAAGTGCCCATCAACAGATGAACGGAGAAACAAATTATGGTACATACACACAATGGAATACTAAACAATAAAGAACAATGATGAATCTGTGAAACATCTCATAACACAGATGAATCTGGAGGGCATTATGCCGAGTGAACTAAGTCAATCACAAAAGGACAAATACTGTATGAGACCACTATTACTGAAAAAGTTTACACACAAAAAAAATTCTTTGATGGTTACAAGGGTGCGGAGGGCAACTCACTAACTAGATAGTAGAAAAATATCACCTTTAGTGAAAGGAAAGACAACACACAATATAGAGGAAGTCAGAACAACTTGACCATGGCAAAGTCACAGAAGTTTCCTAGACACATCCAAACATCTTTAAGGACCGAGTGGCTGGGGCTGAGGGCTGGGGACCATGGTCTCAGGGAAAATCTAGGTCAACTGGCATAACATAGCTCATAAGGAAAACGTTCTAATCCTACTTTGGTGAGTAGCATCTGGGGTCTTAAAGGCTTCCAAGCAGACATCTAAGATACATCTATTGGTCCCAGCACAACTGCAGCAAAGAATGAAGAAAACCAAAGACACAAGGAAAAGTATTAGTCCAAAGGACTAATGGACCACATGAACCACGGCCTCCACCAGCCTGAGCCCAGAACTAGATGGTGCCCAGCTACCACCACCAACCCTTATGACAGGGATCACAATAGAGGATCCCGGGTAGAATGCGAGAAAAATGTAGAACAAAATTCAAATTCACGAAAAAGACCAGACTTACGGTCTGATGGCAACTGGAGGAATCCCTGAGACTATGGCCCCCAGAAGTAGCTCAGAACTGAAGCCACTCCCAAAGTGCACGTTTCAGCCAAAGATTAGACAGGCCTATAAAACAAACAATAACATACATGAGGAATGTGCTTCTTAGTTCAAACAAATATATGAGACCTCATGGGCAACTCCTGCCCAAAAGCAAGATAAGAAGGCAGGGACAGTAAAACTGGACAAATGGACATGGGGAACCCGGGGTAGAAAGGGGGAGAGTGCTGTCACACTGCGGGGATTGCAACTAATGTTGCAAAACAAAATGTGAATAAATTTTTTAATGAGAAACTAACTTGAGCTGTAAGCATTCACCTAAAGCTCAATAAAATTTACTAAATAAATAAAAGCTTCTTGGTTGTTCAGGATACAGATTTTCTAAGAGAAATTTCTCCTGTGGGACATGGCAGAGGAAACAAAGAGCCATATAGTGGACAAGATCCCCGGCACACTCCAACAGTTCCTACCACGTACCCTCTTTCATGACTGTTTCTTAGAGTGTCCCCCCATGAAAACAGACAACATAACCAACACCAAACTGCAATTCTGTAAAAGGGATTCTACAGGGGGTCAAATCAGGACAGCCCAACAACATGAATTTCTGATGGTCTGACTGGATCTAGTGATAAAATATAGACTCTCCAGAGGAACGGAAGAGCTAGAGAGCCTTCTGGCAATGCTCCGTGAATATCATTTATCACAACCAGGCTTTTGAATAACAAAAATATGGGCAGCCTCCAACATGCCAAGTCCAAATATTAATACTTTTGAATGCTAACACTATTTGGCCTAAAAGGAGCCCTGGTGGTACAATGGTTATGTGCTTGGCTGCTAACTGAGAGGTGGTTTGAACCCACCAACTGCTCTGCAGGGGAAAAGACCTGGCAATCTTCTCTCATAAAGGTTACAGCGTAGAGAACCCTACAGGGAAGTTCTACTCTGTCACACTGGGTCACTATGATTCAGAATCAACTCAACAGCATACAACGACAACATGTGGCCTTGGTGCTGCATTTGACTCTAATGGGCTGCTTTTCCCTGAAACTTTTTTTGGGGCCTCACCACACCTCCTCTGGTTCTTCTACCTCTCTGACTAAGCCTCAATTCACCAGCTGCTCTTCCTCCATCCTCTCCTTTGCGTTGCTTCTACAACGTGCCTTCAACTGCCTGCTTTCCTAGGCATCATCTTCACATCCTCTCAAGTCTTCTAAACTTCTGCCTCCCACTCCTGAACCCTTGACCCCTTTCTCACACATATCTCTATCTAGCTCCTAGGAAGGCATTTCAAACTTAAACATGTCCAAAGACAACACCATCTTCTCCCATCCCCCGACTCCTATCACCTTCACCCCAATTCTGTCACTTCCTCTTGAACACCCAGTTGCCCAAGCAGAAACATCCTTTACTCTCTCCTTCCTTCCTATCTCATACTTCATCTGTCCCCTAGATGGTTGGTTCTGTCTCATAAATTCACTCTCCCATTGCCATACTCACAGTCATGACCAGTAGCACTGTGAAAGCCTCATCTTCTCTAACATCATCTTACAATAGCTTCCTAACTGGTCTTCCTGACTTAGGCCTTTCTATAAATATTTTATATTTATAAAACACAATCTGATCACATCTCACTCATGTTTCAAAACCTCCAGTGGTTTCCCAGCAGTCTGTAGGACATGGTCCAACCACTCAGGTGGCATACAAAGAGCCTGGGCTCAATTCTCCTTATCTCTTACCACCTACCCTTCCACCCCACTCCAAACCTCTGTTTCCCCAACAGATCAAGTTCTTCCATACCGTGTGCCTTCTCTCAAGTTGTTTCAGCTACCTGAAATGCTTTAATTTATTCTCTGCCTGGTAAATACCTAACTAACTAACCAGTAGCTGTCGAGTTGACCCCCAAACATGGCGACCCCGTGTGCGAGAGTAGAGCTGTGCCCTGTAAGGTTTTCAATGGCTGATTTTCTGGAAATAGATTGCCAGACCTTTCTTCTGAGGTGCCTCTCAGGAACCTGATCCTCCAACCTTTAAGTTAGCAGCCAAGCACGTTAACCATTTGCACCACCCAGGGATTGTGGTAAATACCTACTCATCCCTTACAGATACTGAGCTCAAACAGGACCCTAGGCAGAACTAGGGTCCCAGCGCACAAAGGACTTTGCATTTTTCTCTGGAATGGCACGTTTCACACTGTTCAGGTGTCTGTCTCCCCACCAGACTGGGAACTTTGGGCAGTCAGAGGTCCGGTCTTACCTCCTTTGTTTCCTTAGGGCTTGCACAGTGTCTAGCACGTTGGAGAGTCTTAATGTTTATTGAGTAAAATGAGTGACCATCAGTGAAACCACGTTGCCCTGTAAAGCTGGTATTTTTTTAAATCTCCTTACTTACTTAGTCACTGTGCAGTGTGTTTAAATTATCTAATTCTGGGCATTACATGGGACCGACATACCATCAGTGCTCCACGAAGTTAAAAAGCCAGCAAACTGTTGTGACGCCAACGCACCTGGGCTGGCAGATGGAGTCTGAAACTCAGTACTGTGGAGTCAGGTCTTCGAGGAGCCACACCAGACGAACCTCCGATGGTTTTACCCGGCTGCTGCCTGGCAGCAGAAATATTTCTCATTCTGTCTCCCTGGCCCTTACCATCTCTGCTGCCCCCTAGGGTGGCATCCCAAGATACCCTCCCAGGCTGGTAGTGACTTCTGGACCCCTGAGAAGAGCCCTCAGCCCTCCCCCTTCCAGGCTCCTTCTCCCAGGGTGGTCTCCACGAAACCCCCAGGGCAGTCTGAGCCGCTACTGAATCAGAGAAAAGTGAACTGTCACAGTTGGTTTAGGCCCAAAACGAAAAGGATGCTTCAACCCCACCTCTACTGCACACGCGAAAAGAGGGTCAAATCTGCCCTTTTCCCTCCGCCCCCAGAGACTGCCATCCTTCAACATCAGTCCTTTCCTTTGTATTTGACCATGCTCAGAAGATAATCCTGGTTAAAACAAAACAAACACATTTTTCCCATGATCTGGGGCCCAGAGAGGAATCTGGTCTATTCCTCTACCCCCAGACAGAGCTATACTTTAACTACAATGAAAATCAGACATTTGGAAGATCTATAAAGACAAAAAAAGATCTTAGAAAATAGGGTAAGAGGAGGCCAGGCTCAGTGTCCAAGCTAGGAGGATGTGACATGGCTCCAGCCAGGATGATGGCAGTGGTTTGCAATGACCGTCTGGGGATGAAGATCCATGTTAATGCAACACTGAGGACCCCACTGGGGACCCTTAAGAAGCTGATCACAGCCCATCCTGGCACATATTGGAACAAGACTGTCCTGAAGAAGGGGTACACAATTTTCAAGGACCACATGTGCCTGGGCAACTATGAAATCCACGATGGGATGAACCTGGAGCTTTATTAGCAATAAAGCAGAATTCCTTCCTTCTTCACTGCCCTCCCCTTCTCCCTTCTCTCCCCTCCACACTGGTATGGATGCTTGTTTTTAAAAACTCACGTTAATAAAAATTTAGATGCTGCTTCAAAAAAAAAGAAATATATATATATACAGGTTAGTAAGAGATGCAGCCGATCTTCAAAGGTTACTTCACCCGGGAACCTGCCCTTGATCCTCCTACTCTCCACCTGCAGAGCAGCGCTTATCACAGTTATAGTTTTACTTTTATGAACGTGATTATTTGATTGTCACATCTCCCACACTCAAATATCTGCTGAATAAAAGAATAAGTCCTTTAGACTATGGGCACTACGTGACCTTGATTTCTCTTTAACTGCTGGTCCCCCCAGGCACAGCTGGGCCCCAATTCGTTACAAACCATCCATCCCAAATCTGCCAATACAATTCCATTATTCAGCTGTCAGCATGCCTTTGGCTTTCTCACTTTAATGTCCCAATTCAAATAAATCCAAAACTCTAGACTCTGACATCTGTGCCTGGGCTCCCTGCCTTTCCACAATTGGAATTTGGAAACCGAACTTAAAACTCAAGAGCAATAAAGGAGAGAGACACTTTCAAAAAGATGCCTGTATGTCTAAAGTCCCAACCACCGCCAGCCCAGAGATGGATGTGTTTTGATCTAGGAATTATTAAACTGTCATCTAGAGGTGTCATTTACTGAAGGAGAGAGGCAAGGAAAGGAAAGCGGGGGGGGGGAATCTGAAGTGAATCTACAGTAAATGTATGGATTTCTTCTCTGTATGAGAAGAGCAGATAGATTTTAATAGGCCTGGCACATAAAAGGGAGACATGCACATTGCCAGTGTAGCTTTTTCATGTAATTTCAGAAACTTCCACAAAGTTAATTGTTTATGGTTCAGTCTTCCCACTAGATTGCAAGCCATTCCTGGTCAGAGACCATGTCTGGTTAATCACCCCTTATACCTAGCCCAGAGCCTGGCATCCAGTAAAATAAGGGCTCAGAAAGTGTTCTGAAGAGAGGTGGGAGGTAAGGGAAGGAAGGGAGAGTCATCTGAGGCCCTGAAGCAACTGCCAATAAGCCTCAGGGATTTGGTTATTGGGTGCCATCGAGTCAATTCCAACTCATAGCAACCCCATGTGACAGAGTAGAACTGGTCCCATAGGGTTTTCTACGCTACAATCTTTACGGAAGCAGACTGCCAGGTCTTTCTCCCATGAAGCAGTAGGGTAGGTCTGAACCACCAACCTCCAGGACTATTGTTGTTAGGGCCATCGAGTTGGTTCCGACTCATAGCAACACTATGTACAAAGGAACATAACACTGCCCAGTCCTGTGCCATCCTCACAATTATTGCTGTGTTTGAGCCCATCGTTGCAGCCACTGTATCAGTGCATCTCGTCGAGGGTCTTCCTTTTTTTCGATGTCCCTCTACTTTACCAAGCATGATGTCCTTCTCCAGGGATCGGTCCCTCCTGATAACATGCCCAAAGTACATGAGACAAAGTCTCACCATCCTTGCTTCTAAGGAACATTCTAGCTATACTTCTTCCAAGGCAGATTTGTTTGTTCTTCTGGCAGTCCATGGTATATTCAATATTCTTCACCAACACTCAAAGGCATCGATTCTTCGGTCTTCCTTACTCACTGTCTAGCTTTGGCATGCATATAAGATGACTGAAAATACCATGGCTTGGGTCAGGCGCAACTTAATCCTCAAGGTGACATCTTTGCTTTCTAACACTTTAAAGAGGTCTGTTGCAGCAGATTTGCCAATTGCAATACACTCCTTGATTTCTTGACTGCTGCTTCCATGGGTACTGACTGTGGACCCAAGTAAAATTAAATCCTGACAACTTCAATATTTCCTCCGTTTATCATGATGTTGCTTATTGGTCCGGTTGTGAGGACTTTTGTTTTCTTTATGTTGAAGTGTAATCCATACTGAAGGTTGTGGTCTTTGATCTTCATCAGTAAGTGCTTCAAGTACTCTTCACTTTCAGCAAGCAAGGCTGTGTCATCTGCATACTGCAGATTGTTATTTAAGTCTTCCTCCAGCCCTGATGCCACGTTCTTTTTCATATAGTCCAGTTTCTCGGATTATTTGTTCAGCATATAGATTGAATAAGTACGTTGAAAGGATACAACCCTGACACACACCCTTCCTGATTTTAAACCATGCAGTATCCCCTTGTTCTATTCAAACAACTGCCTCTTGGTCTATGTACAGGTTCCACACGTGTACAATTAAATATTCTGGAATTCTCATTCTTCACAATGTTTTCTATAATTTGTTATGATCCACACAGTTGAATGCTTTTGCATAGTCAATAAAACACAGGCAAACATCTTTCTAGTATTCTCTGCTTTCAGCCAAGATCCATCTGACATCAGCAACGATATCCCTCATTCCACGTCCTCTTCTGAATCCGGCTTGAATTTCTGGCAGTTTCCTGTCAATGTACTGCTGCATCTGCTTTTGAATTACTTTTAGCAAATTTTACTTGTTTGCAATATTAATGATACTGTTCGATAATTTTTGCATTCTGTTGGATCACCTTTCTTTGGAATGGGCACAAATACGAATCTCTTCCAGTCAGTTGGCCAGGTAGTTGTCTTTAAAATTTCTTGGCATAGACAAGTGAGTGCTTCCAGTGTTGCATCCATTTGTTGAAACATCTCAACTGGTATTTTGTCAATACCTGGAGCCTTGTTTTTCCCCAATACTTTCAGTGCAGCTTGGACTTCTTCCTTCAGTACCACTGGTTCTTGATCATACGCCACCTCCTGAAATGGCTGGATGTCCAGGACTCTACAGTTCTCTATTCTGTGCTGGGCAAAGGACCAGGTACTTGACATACATTATCTCAATTAATGTTTACAACAACCCAGGGAGACAGGCGTTATTATATTCCTGTTTTCCAGATGAGGAAAGAAAAGCTTGAGAGGTTCCGCAATTTGCCCAAGGTCACTCTGCTAGAAAGGACCAGGGTCAGAATTTGAATCCTGTCCCCTGCCCCAAGTGGGTCCCTCAAGTCAGAGAGAAGTCTCAGCCCTCCAGGGCTTCAGGCCGAATGGCTCCCAGAGGGAGAAGCGAAACCTGATACTGCCGAGTCATTCAGAGGGAGCAGTTATGTCAACTAATGATACTGCAAAACAAAGATGTCAGCGCAGGCGCAACGCTTCAACCTTAAATTGAAGAAACAGGAGAAAAGAAATGAGGAGACAGAAAAACCTTACCCAGAAGATGTGACAACTGGAAATCAGACACACACACACACACACACAGATATTTTTCAGTTCTTATCCTACCTTCCTGCTATTTGGCTTTAAGCCTGCAGTTAAATGTGGAGACACTTTTTTTCTCTAAGGGTATCAAATCCAAAAGGAAACAAATTAAGAGCCAGGTAAGCAAAACTTCTGACTTTACGGCACCTAACAACAACAAGCAAAACTAACTAAAAGCTACTTAATTTAGATTTTGCTCTTACAGAAATATACATGTTTATTCTATTAATAAAGCAAATACTGAAAGAGAATTCATTTCTACCTTATGGTCCATTTGGCGGCAGATCAATCATTGGATTCCCAACAAAGACCAAACTGGTAAGAGACAAATATACTAGATGACACACACAGGAGAGATACAAACAAAAAGAAAAGAAAGAGACAAAAATGGAGAGAGCAAGGGAAGGGAGACCAAAGAAGGATGCTTAGTAAGTTGCTTGCTGCCAGGAAGATAAACCATCACCTCAATGGTTTCCCAACTTCAGACATGTGTGGAATTGGCTACATTAGAAAAACCTAGGGAAATTTTTTTGGTTGCTGTTCGCTTGTTTTTATTATGGATTTCACATCCTGAAGATTCTGATTTTATAGGCCTTTGATAGGACTGAGGAATTCTATGGAAGCCAAGTTTCAGGATCCCTGGGGATAGTCTCACTTTTGAGGACTCCTTTTATCCATGCCGGAGCCCTGGTGGCACAGTGGTTAAGAGCTCGGCTGCTAATCAAAAGGCTGGCAGTTCGAATCTACCAGCCGCTCCTCGGAAGCCCTATAGGGTAGTTCTACTCTGTCGTCTAGGGTTGCTATGAGCTGCAATCCTTTCAGTGGCAATGGGTCACGTTGGGTTGGGTTGGGTTTATTATCTATGTCAATTAGCTATTGTTCACAGCTCTTCATCTTTAAGAGTTCTACTCAGAATGGAAGTGACAGACCACACGCATGGAGTTGCTCTGAACTGCAGCAATGGTGGCCCAAACAATATTCCAGTATTCTCCTTCCCATCTTTCACGTGCCTGTTGAGCATTCCCTCTTATGTTCATGCCTCTGTGCCTCTGCACAGTTTCCCCTGGACTGTCCTCTCCATCTACCAGTTTCTGCATGTTTAAACCTTTCTCGCCTCCAATCTCCAAAAAGCCCACCTTCTTTTGGTACCTCTGCTAACCAAAAGGCTGACAGTTCAAATCCACCTGCTGCTCCTTGGAAACCCTATGGGGCCTTTCTACTTTGTCCTGTAGGGTCGCTATGAGTCAGAATGTACTAGATGGCAATGGGTTTGGTTTGGTTTTGGCTTGGTAATGACTCTAAACTCTTTCTACTTTGTCCTCGGTTATTTACACACACGCCTTTTTATCATTTCTATTTGAACTCCTAGGGACAGGGTCTATATCTTAACTCATCTATCCCTCCCAAAGGCCTTAATGTCTGTTGTTGAATGATGACTACCCAGGAAAATAAAACAAAGCTAAGGTTGAGTTTTAGCCCCAGGTTAGAGGTTCTTCTTCTCTAGCTCAAAATAGGGACGTCTGCTCCAAGCCTATGCTCCCTTGTTTCAGGTACTCCCAACGAGAACTCCTTGAGAAAACCAAACAAAATAAATTATTAGGATGGTCAATATTGCCTTAATTTAATTAATTTGATGTCAGATAAAACAAAATAAGGCCACTATCTTTGCTACAACCCAACTCAGCCACTGTTCAAACCT